CACAACTATAGATTGAGTCCAGGGCTCATGGTTTCGTGTAAGAACACCCGACCTCGAGACTATTGAGCCGTAATCTAATGGTTTTAATGTCTACCTTCGGACAACCCATGATGTTACATGATCATTGTTTGTTATCTTCAGAGACCAGTGAAACAAAAATGTGTCTGGTGTGGGGCAGCTACTCACCAATGGAAGACGGCATCGAAATATGGTGGACTGATTGCAGTTAGATATTAACGCTGTTGGATGCCTCCTAAATGGTATAGAAGTTCACCCACAGGACATCATATCTTGTGTTTGATCCACGTGCGGGGTCGTGAATGTGCACCACTTGATTATTCAGTAGTACGACGAAACGGTCATCCAGTACTTTCAGATTTTGAGTGGAAGTCTAACACTGATCAGTTCATGATTTCAGTGAAATTCAACAATTAGAAGATCCCATTGGTTATGATTAGGTTATAGGTTCTATTTTATATGCTGCTGACTCAACCAGTGGGATAAAACTGGACACACATCTGTATTGAATTACATAACAGGTATATTCAATCAATAGTAATTGTTATGAGTAAGGATTTTCAGGTTTTGACGAGGAGATTTTCCACCGTTAAATGAATGAAACGAATACTGATCGATAGATGAAATTCAGTAATAGGATTTGGCCGGGCGATGATTCCTAAAGAGAACGAATTACTAACGGGATTCCTCTGTCTCGATAATTGAACTGTTATCGATAGCCAGCCAGCTAACCAACAGACTAGGTTGTTTTTACGTAACAGATTACTAACATTTTGCATAAAAAATATTGGTAGAAAAACAAACATGATTTAATGTTACTGAGGAGGGGAGGAGAGGAAATGGGAGGGAGTCGAATTTTATAGGTCACTTGTAATCTTCAACCACTTAAGCGTATCAGAAGGGATTTTGTGGAGATTTAAGAAAATTCACTGGTTGAAATTGTGAGTCAATTGAAGCTAGACCACCATGGAAAACCTGGAAGCACTGGACGGCCGTTTCGTCCTAATTTGGGACTATTCAGCAGTGCGCATCCACGATCCCGCTCAAAGGATTCGAACACAGGACCTATCCGTCTCATGTCAGGCGCTTAATCAACAAGACCACTGAGCTGACCGGCATCCAACGGTGTTAATGCCTAACGTCAATCAATCCACAAAATTGTGCGACCATCTTACATTGTAATGAGGCAGATGCCTGTCTCTACCCGACACAAATTAGCTACACTAGTCACGGCTTCTCACTTGAACCCCAAGAATTCCCTCAGGACGCTAGTCACTAGTGAGCACATATTAATTATCAGTATAGGGTTGTGGAAATTCAAATCCTACAACTGTAATGGTTCATGTTTAACCTTCCATACAAAAGAAATGTAATATCTTGAAAAAAATGTTATATTTGAGATATGGTTGTTAATTAGGCATTAAAAGTAGAAAATGAGCTTATCTGTGTTTTTATTACCGTCGTTTATGCCAGTTCCCTATACACCATATTTATATATATGGTTTATTATTTTTGGAATTTTTTTTTGACAAGTTTCACTCATAAAATGCAAATTAATTACAATAAATACCATAATAAGTATACGTAGTTTAGGTTAAGGATGAAGTATTTTCTTATTTTTCTCGGTTGATGCTTCCAGATTTTCCATGGCAATCTATCTTCAATTGACTCATGATCTCAAGATTTATGTTTCTGTTAGTGATTTACAAGTATTTCGTTGTTGCATTTTTCTTTGTATTATTATTGGGCATTAATAATGGTTGGCGTATATAGCCTCTGCCAGGGAAGTCCTACTCACTGCCTTCTCGTGGCGGGGGTGTTGTTTACGAAAATGAGAGGACGAAAAGCGAATGTCTGGCGCTTTAACCGGATTCCAAACTAATGGTGGACATGGGCTCCAGTATCCTGAAGGAACAAATGGCGTATGAACCAATCGTTGGTCACCGGCTACCATGTGACTGCATCTCCTCACGATGCTCCACTGCCTTGTGGGTCAGACGTTCAGGTCAAAGGCTCGGGGTGTGGTGCCCTAAGAAAACCACCTGCTTCGGTTTGGGCACCCGGGCAGTATCACAGCCCTCACACAAATCAATTGAGATTTGTGTGGCGCATATGTATTTGGTGCCTCCCTGTACCTATACTTATGTGTTAAAATAAATAAATAAATAATAATGGTTGGCATTAAACGAGAAATTTTCGATAAACGGAATACACCCATTGAAACATTAAATAAGAAAGATTAGTTCAGCAAAGAGTTCTCCCCTTTTCGGCGAATTCATTTTCAAAGCTGTACAATCGCAAATATATATACACTTATTTTTACAGGATGATAATAGTAGTACTGATAATAAACTTGTTATACATGGTGACAGTGAGGTTAAATAAACAAAAGTATTAAAAATTTTATAAAACAAGGAGAGTTTGATAATCGTTTGATTATTAATGGCTTAAAAATTTATCAAAACATAGATAGGGAAATTATCATTGGGAAAGGATGGCTCAGCATGATAAGATAAAATGTTGAAATTGACATTAAATGTAATCAGGAGGATCGTAGAAACAGAAATAAACCAGTTGGGAGTAGAAGATTTAAGGGGAAGGTGAAAGGTGAAGCAGATGGCTGTGAAGGAACCAGAGAAAATTTTTTAATACATTAAGACCAAGGTAGAAGAAGAGGTTGTACCAGTCTCTTTTGCACACATAATTCCGGTTTTTCCAGGTATATGGTTATTGCTTCAGCGATGCAAAGGAGCTGCAGTCTGATTGCCTTAGGAAGATTTCTACTTACCTTGCAAATGACTTTGAACGCAGAATCTGTCTTGATTGAGTGACCTGTGTTCACATGGTGTTCGATTACAGAACTTCTTACTAAGCCGTTGCCTCCTATTTTTAGCCACGCCGGACAATGTTCTTGCATCCTTTTGGATAAACTACGCATCGAAAGACCTATATACCTAGCTCCACATGAGCACGTAAATTGGTCAGATGCGATAATTTATCTTTCAGATTATTGGTAATCAATGATCGACTGGAGAATAATATTCTCAATGTTGCTGCGGGGAATACTTTTGAGCCAGTGGATTTTAATTGAGAAGTTGAATGTTGCGCGGGCATATTTAAGCTCATGTTTGTAAATTAAGTAGTGGTACTACTACTCTTAATATCATTAAATATATATGATAATGACAAACAGAGCTGCCTATCTCGATTTCGCGCCAGGCGCTTAACCAACAGCTTAGTATTGTTTATCATACCAGTTGATGAATTAAACGAAATCCAATCTTATTCTGATTATCATCAATGATGCTTTACAAAAGTTGTTTTAAAGGCCATTATGAATATATATTCAATAATGTTGTGTTGTTATCTGTATCTAGTTGTTCATTGTATTGTCTTTTTTTGTCATTTCTTTATTTCGAAGACAAATTATTAAACCAACGTCCTAATGACTACTTGCAAGTAGTTATAATATTAATAATTTAGAAAATCATTTTTCCATTTGATGTAATTCTGGAGGGTTAATTTCTTCATCATGTATATATACATTCATCGTTATTAACCATAGTAGTAGATTATGGTCATTAAAAATCTCCTGGATTAGAGGTTACACAACAAATGATCGATAAGATTTTATCAACAACAGGAATTAATTTACATGATATAGGATGTTACTCAAAGGCGAAACTCTGGAAGATGTGGAATCCTTCACATACCTGGGAAGCATCGTCGATAAACAAGGAGGTTCAGATGCAGACGTAAAGGCGAGGATTGGCAAAGCAAGCACAGCATTCCTTCAATTAAAGAACATATGGAACTCAAAACAACTTTCAACGAATATCAAAGTCAGAATCTTCAATACGAACGTCAAGGCAGTTCTACTGTACGGAGCTGAAACTTGGAGAACTACAACTACCACCATCAAGAAGGCATAAATATTTATCAATAGCTGTCTACGTAAGATACTCAATATCCATTGGCAGGATACCATCAGTAACAGTTGAGTAAATGTATTGAAAAAACTATTTCTAACTTACAAACAGAGAATGTATCTCTACAAAGAATATTAACTGTGATAATAATACGTTTGCTTAATTTGAAAAAGTATGGTTTCACGGGATGATAATTGGTGTACTGAAATAATTGTAAGATTAAGGTTATTGTTTGACAGCTATGAACTTTCGTACTATAGGTTCTACAGTGAAACTTTATTTCTCCATTCAGGTTATAGACTCATAGTTTATATCTTTATTGTGTAGATTTGTTTGTTGATTAAATTATTTAGAAATTATACCAGCCGACTTTCAACTACAACTAACACGAGAATTAATTCTATCGCATACAATTTTCATCTACTCAAATACAATACAATACTTCAGGTATATTTCAAGTAATGTTATTTTGTTTAAGACTGAAGCATAGAGATTAATTCATTCCTGAAGTTGAATAAGAATGAATTAATGTGATGTATGCTAGTAGCATTTTAACCTGAGGACAAATAAGCGTTGATATATGTATGTATAAATCATTCAGAGATTGATAGGGAGCTACTACGTACTGCGTATCATTTGTTCACAAATGCCCTCTCCATTGATAGCATAGAACTTGAACATCTCAGTGTAAAAAGAAATTACGTCTCAACTTTTAACTTGTAATTGCACATTTTCAAAAAATACGCTTTCATAATGTCGTCAAAATTCATCCTTGATAATGTTTGTTATTATTTCTAATTATAACTGTGTTGTTGAAACTATTTCCACTGTATCAATAAAGTTATTAGCTGTCATCAATCTACAGTAGATTATTAAATATATTCAATTACTTAGCGGTTCTTTCTTACATGTCTTTTTCATTTTTATCATTATTTCACTACAGATTTCATCTCTAGGTTCCTCCCACCTATTCTAATTTGGATAATCATATTTATAACAGCTACATATATCCCTCTATCATTGATATATTATATACAAATTAGGCGTAAGTCAATGCAAACTGTGCTCTCTATAGCTATTGATTTTTTAGATAAGCATGCAAAACCGAAACATATTGATGCTTCCCGTAAAATGAATTTGTTGTATACAAAGCCAAAACATAAATTATTGTTGCATCACTCCGGCCCTTCTACATCGTCGTCGCCACCATCGTCATCATTATCTTCTCCGTTATCACTATGTACAGTATATTCTCAATCTGATTTTTCTAACATCCGTAATATGAATACAGATACAAAATTTAAGATTACAGATGTACTTACGCCATTTTCACAAAGATTATTATGTCAACCATCCAGATATTTTCCACAAAAACATAACATTCTTCAATGCAACGTAATGCTGTTACAATGGCTAAATCAGTATTTGAATTGTAGTTCTAAAACATGTATACTGAAATTATGTTTTGCTCTAGAAAATCTCCTTGGTGAAGGTAATTATGGAATTGTTTATAAAGGGAAATTATTCATTAATACTGACGACTACGAAAGCAATTCTAACGATATTCAGATTGCTATCAAAACGTTGAAAGGTTAGTTCGGTGAAATATATATATATATATATATATGTATATAACATTCGGTAAATACTTGAAATATTTCAATGCTATCGTGATTAAAGTATTCCCTTCCTATCTAATGAATTTTATTAGGTATGCATTCTACGAATTATTATAGCCAGTGTTACTGATAACTGTTTGGGCATTATTCTAATACAATTTCACCACTTACACAATCGAGAACGCATCAGCTAAAACACGTTACTTTGAATAGTTTGTTATTCGGATATTCATAGAGATAATCTCGCATCTTTTGACCCTTCGTCCTCCGATGATGACGTGTATGAATTTCGCTTTATTTTTATATAATGCAGCAGCTTTGGTCTATACATAATAATCCGAGGCTCTACATTGTTCATGATTGAGTTATATTGTAGTGAACAGAACACCAGAGAGGACAATCGAATGTAATTAACGACAACTTACAGAACTACTTAGTAAAATCCAACAACCATATATAGTAACTGCTCAATTTGCAAATTATTCATTAATTGTCTCAAATCACTCAGGATCCCTTTGTACTTGCATTTTCATACAAATTTCATTCTGTCTTGATTGTTTATTGTTCGATCTTCTCGTATCTCTGCTGCCAGAAATTCTGTTTAGTACTCACGTCATATACTACTTATGTCCACATAAGTAGCACACACCACAATATCACTACAATTATATTTAGTTCCTCGTGGACTAGATTTTCCATTTGGTTTATAGTAAAACCATAATGATGATATACAAACAAATAAATTAGATTACGAACAAGAGGGGTACGACGGTAACCTTACTAATTATCAAGGACCCAATAGTTCGATTACATTTGCATAATGTTGATTTAATTGATCACGTGATAATGTTATATCCCATTCACATCATTTAGAATTGTCCTGATTAATTTATGTTACTTAGAAATTAGAAGTAAATCAGAACATCAATTCACTTGTAATTAGTATGACAAGTACATTTTAAAATTCCAATTTACTGATATATTTTTTATATGCCCTACTCATAAAACGGTAATATTTTCTCCGAATTAAAGATAATTTAGGTCTAGTTGAAAACATAACAAAGTTCATAATATTAATAAACGTGTTTTGCACGTTAAGTGAAATTTACTCTCGAATCGGCCCCCAAATGCCCTGGTACGGTCGAGAGTGGGGTGAGCCCGCCCTCCCTCTCCAAGTGCTCTCACATGGCCACGCGTATACAGCCTCCGCCAAGGAAGTCCTACTCACTGCCTTCTGGCATCACGGGTGTTGTTTACAAAAATGAGAGGATGAAAAGCGAATGTCCAGCGCTTTAACCGGATTCCAAAATAATGGTGGACATGGGCTGGCTCCAGTATTCTGAGGGAACAAATGATCTATGAACCAATCATTGGTCACCGGCTGGCTACCATGGGACTGCATCTCCTTACGATACTCAACTGCCTTGTGGATCAGACGTTCAGGTCGAAGGCTCTGTGTGTGATCCACTAAGAAAACCACCTGCTTCGGTCTGGGCACCCGTGCAGTATCACAGCCCACACATATATACAATGAGATCTGTGTGGCGTATATCTATTTGGTGCTTCCTTGTACCAATATCTATGTGTTAAAATAAATGTCAGAAGGGGTTTTTGGAGATTGTAGTAATTTCAATGATTGAGATCATGATTCAGTTGAAGCTAGACCACCATGGAAAACCTGGAAGCTCTGGACGGCCGTTCCGTCCTGTTGTCGGACTCCTCGGCAGTGCGCATCCACGATCTCGCCCACTGCGAGATTCGAACCCAAGACCTACTGGTTCCGCGCGCGAGCACTAGACCATTAGACTACTGAGCCGGCATCCAACTCTGTTAATGTCTAACTTCAACTAATCCACGAAATTGAGCGACACATCCACCATTGTCTTCAGTGAGTTACTATCCCACAACAGACCTGGTTGAACTCCACTGGTCACTACTTCTCATTAGAACTCCAGGATATACCTCTTGAAGCCAGTCACTAGTGAGCATATGTTGAAAACATAACAAAGTTCATAATATTAATAAACGTGTTTTGCACGTTAAGTGAAATTTACTCTCGAATCGGCCCCCAAATGCCCTGGTACGGTCGAGAGTGGGGTGAGCCCGCCCTCCAGTAGGTCCTGGGTTCGAATCTCGCAGGGGCGAGGTCGTGGATGCGCACTGCTGAGGAGTCCCATAATAGGACGAAACGGCCGTCCAGTGCTTCCAGGTTTTCCATGGTGGTGTAGCTTCAACTGACTCATGATCTTAATCATTGAAATTTAAAATAAATACTTCAATGATAATTAAAAGTATAAAGAATTAGATTTTTTAAATTTATTATTTTCTCATCTTCATGGAAACATATCTGTTATGTATATGTGTGTTAGATCATTAGGATTGGAACATGATGAATGGTGTTTTAAACATGATTGACTATTGTAAATAATATTTATTATTATTAAGAGCTTTATTCAATAGTATAGTTTTTGGTACAACATAGAATTCTCAGCACAAAGTATTTCAACAAGTTTCTCGTTTCTTATTTATTGATCAGTTCCTTGCGATAAATATTGAATGGTCGCCAGTTAGATGTTAGCGGTTCAAAAATCGACATCCGATAAATGTATATCCTTTTTGATGCATATTGCCAGTAACCATGATGTCTCTGATTGAGCTCTTTTAAAATATGTACAGCGAAATGCCGTAAAGTTTTCACAAACTCACCTGAATAGGTTATGAGACGAATAGGCATAATGATGTGTTAAAACAAACAAACAAGAAAACAGATAACTTGTTGAAATATCCAGATGGCAGAAACAGGTAGCCCAGATATTCAAACAGGCCGCCTGATGAAAACAATTACTATTAATTGATACTTTACATTAGACATTTTCATTCAAAAAGTGAAAGTTTTAAATGAGCTAGAATTACATCCACATATCATTGAATTTTATGAACTATGCATAGATAATAGTAAGTAACAAACTACTTGTATTAATGTCAATTGATTTTAACTCATCTTTACACATGCCTTCTGTACAGATCAGTACAGTTTTAACCAGTGAGTAAAAGGAATTCGAATCATCATATAAAAATTGTGACACCTTACAGTTGAGTAAATTAAATAACCTAAGTAATTTCTCATGTAATTGTCATGAACTATATCACTAGTATTTTTTTAGTTAAGATTTATAAGTTCATCCATCAACTTGTTATGCATGGTAACAGGCTCTAAGTTTATCGTCATTATTATTATTATTACCATTATTATTATTATTACCATTATTATTATTACCATTATTATTATTATTACCATTATTATTATTACCATTATTATTATTATTACCATTATTATTATTATTATTATTATTATTATTATTATTATTGATTATTATTATTGGAAAAAAATTCTTTTTCACTATTCACAGTGTGAACAATTAATGTCCTCTTTTTATTTTTTATTTCATTTTATATTTACGTATTAAAATGATTGTCTATCAACTGATTGTATAAATAATCAGTTACTCATCTTCATTTGCCAAGTTTGTTAAATGATATTTCTAGGTTCTTTTTTTACCGTATGTTTTCATCATTGATTATGTAAGGATAATTTAAAAGAAGATATTGTGATCCTTTGAACTATCACAAATGTTTATTTGTTTGTTTAAATTAGTCACTAAGAGGTATCAATCTATAATACAGAAAGTAAAGATAAAAGATACCCATGAGGATTTGTGAAGAGAAAAACAACTAAATTTCAACAGTTTTACCTAATGTGACATTAGAATATTGATACAAAGATTTACTGATTATAAATCAATGATTTTTCTTTTGAAATGTGTTTTATCTGTTTTACTTACCGGTGTATTTCGAAGAAGAAGAAGAAGAAGAAGTATCAATACTTTGACCAAAAGAAAAATACTAGTAAGAATATCTTCAATCACATCCGATCAAAACCAAATAAGTTTTATTATATATATCAAATTCTGTAAAAGAAAAAGAAAGTTTGAAAGATTTTAAACATAAAGTTTTGCTCAGTTGTTAAGCTTTTCAAAGTACTGTCTCTTTTCAATATTCATTAATGACGAAATGATCATGACACGGAACTTGGAAGAAATACAACATTCATTTATCTACTTGGATATAACTTAGAAACGTACAAACTTCTCGTTTATGTCAATTTTTTTTTCAAATCATATATGGTGCTATGAACCTTGAAGTATAATTACTCAATGAATAATTTATTTATGTAATTAATAATACTATATATCATATTACATAACTCATCAAATCATCCAAACTGTTACACATTGTGGGTGAAAGTGTACGTCAAACATTTAATCATGATAAAATGAATGCCTGATTAAATGCTATTTCAATGAACCTCATTGATATGGTAATTTCTTCAATGGATCAATAATCTTTCATTTGATAAATTTTCAGGGGATTAGATCTATTACTCGTATAAGCAATATTTAATTATGTCAACATGACGTGTCAGATTACAAGTGATATATCAAAGCTAGACGCATATGTCAGAAAACACTTCACAGTCCTTCACCTACTCCTGTCATTGTAAACTACACTTTATTCAGATCATTACTGTACAACAAGACGTAATTCTAGCACTGAATACCTTGATCAATTGACATAGAAACATCTCTATATTCTCAATAGTCTTGACTAAATCATATAGACAAACACAATTTTGACGAACAATAATTAAGGTCATCATCGCAGATCATTTAAGCGTATAGCTTTTGCATCACAGCATCCCTAAAAATGACCTGAATATTACTAACAGTTAAAGAATAATGGTCAAAAAACTTTAAACTCAATACTGGTAAAATTGTCGATTTGACATCTGTGAAAAATAAACGATATCATGATAACTTGGATAAGATTTTTATGAAGAAGTGACCAGTTCAATAAAAAATCTATTTCAATGACATCTATGTGACTAAATAATGTAAATTCTTACGTAGACTATTTGACGATGTTAAGATGTCTAGAGTGAGGAATTCAGAATGACAACTTGAAAGTCTGGTCTTATAACAAGGCTACTAGGAAAATAAACTGTTACATCCATTTCATTGCAGTCGAAGTAGTTATATGCTCTTACTGTTATTTTGTTAGTTTCCTTGAATAATTGGCAATATGGTTGTCATGTCACGCTTCATTTGTTTATCATCCATAGCACTTAATTCAATAATGTAATGAAATTGAATATAGTCAATACAAAAGAATCGTCGGCACGTAATCGTCTTTGAGGGATCTGTATCTTGTAGTTGAATCATTTACTTAGGATTCCTGGGGTTTTAATCCGAATTCCGGATTGATTACTGGGATTAATTTAATGTAAAATTGTATTGCAGAGTTCTTTATTTTGGTTAGTATTCTTTTAGTTTATGTCAAGTCGTGCACTAACTTTACCTGGACTCATGGATAGAAAAGTTCCCTAAGTGAGTGAATTAATGTATTACGTCAAATCGTTTTGACTATTATTTCAAATTGTTCAAATTGCTTTATGCTTTATAGGTTAGATACATTAAACATACTACTAGATTGGAAGAAACTCTCTATATCTCATAAAATTAATATTTGATAAATGTATCAGTTTGAACTGACGAATAAAGATGTTGTTACTGATTACTGAGAACATTGGAACTCGGTATATCCTCTTGCCTGTTGTTAAAAATATCACTTAATATTACGTTTGTATTCTAGGTAGTAAAACAGTTCGTGAAGAGTATGGATATTTTTATCGGAATACTGGTCAGTAGTCTCTCTACGTAGTACAGAGAAGTTCAAATTTGTCAAAGAGTAGTTTTCCTTATCATAATATCTCATATCATTTCCATTGGATGATTTAACTCAATTTAACACTGGTAATCTTCAATTTCATCTTTCTTGTTGAAAACGATGAGTTGTAATTAATCTTATCTCCGAAGTGTTATCACTTATCTCTTTGGTATAAGCATGGCCTTTAAGAGTGACGGATACTCGTAAGTTACTAGTATTTGACCACAGGTGCCTTAGAAATATTGCGGGTATCTGCTGGGATCACCGGGTAAGTAATAGTGAGATTAGACGCAGGGTATTAGGGAATGATGGTAAATCAGTTGATGAGGTTATGAATCTTCATCGACTGAGATGGTTGGGCCACGTGTTGCGTATGCCTGAACACCGATTACCACGACGCGCAATGCTGACTAGTGCAGGGGATAATTGGAAGAAAGTTAGGGGCGGCCAAACCAAAACGTGGCATCAGTGCTTGAAGTCACTAACTTCTGGTCTGAGCCATGTTGGGAGATTCAAACTGCCTGGTTGGGGTCCGCGTGACTATCGTAACCAATGGTTGGAGACTCTTGGCGACATGGCTCAGAATCGATCACAATGGCGTCGGTGTATACACTCTCTGTCTTCCTTAAATTAAGAGATTAAAATCGCTTCATATCTGTCTAGGAACTAATTCTTTCTTCCTTTACTATCTCCTTATACACAATCTTTCTTCTATATATTACCACCACTGAATTAACTATTCCTATGAATCCGGTGTTCATCTTGTTGTGCTAATGCGGTATGGCAACTTGGACCGATGCATATACGTGCCTGGTCCTACGTTGCAGCTGACTGACTGACTGACTTAGTATAAGCAACTAGCACGGAATTCCAGTGTTTCGTATAAGCATAGACTTTATTATTCATCAGCCAATTAGACATTGAACGATTGTACAACCTTTCTGCTAAACTAACTTTTCAAAGTAAGTATTGAAACCGACCTCTTTTCAATATGATACTAGAAGAGATGGAATGAAGACTAGAACAATGAATTTGATTTGCGTACACTTACACGGTAACGATATCATCGTCTTCATATATTCACTACAATAGTTAAGTTTCAGATATACTTCTGACGATGTGATAGAATTCGCTGCATTATCAACAAAACAGACCGAAACACGTACACTCTCGTATTCTTACTAGATAGTGTTGGTGGTTACTAAGGTTAATGATCCTGGTCATATGAGCACAAATAATATCTTCGTGTAAAATTATGTCAGTAGAGCAACACACCTGCGATTAATCTCGATTATGGTTAGTTTTTGTCAAGGCCTTTCATTAACTTATTTAACAGACAGCGGTGTTATTCAAACAGTAACGATTCGCAAATGTCTTTGCATTATCATGATCACTATCATATCTGTACTGTACAAACATGTACGTTTGATCACATGTGAGAGCTTACGCACTATCTTTAGCTCAAACCTTGATGGTTAAAATACTGCTTGAGAGTCATTCTCTTTCCTATGTGTATATGTACTCGAATCTTATTAAAAGCCTTTGCCTTGCTTTGCTGAGCCTCGATTCGATTTGACAATAAATCCACCATCTGTATTCTCTCACACACACGTATCAAGGTGATTAACTAACGAAGCCAAGCCACTCTATCTGATCGTGTTATTAGCTTTAATGAAATTAACCTGTTTTATTGTTTGAATAAAAGCCATAGCTCTTTTCGTAAAAGAAAAATACCCTACTTAGTCATCATCGAAATTCAATTGGTGTTATAGGTCACCAGAATTTCTGCTATGTACAGCAATACACATTGACGAGATAGTAATCACAGTGATCAATTACACACGTAAGCAAAAATCAACAGTCAGTAACTTATAAGACACATAGAATCAAACATATATGATATGAATCGGTTCACGTTGCTAGATCAACTCACAACAACCAGATAAAGATATCAAGACAATTTTGAGACTACTAAAAGTATATATATATATATATATATATATATATATATATATATTCGGTGACCTTCACCCGAAGCAGACCATCATGTTATCTACCAAGTATTAACATGTCTAACAAGTTTATTTGTGGTATCATTGTCTAAACACACGTGATACATATACGTACGCTGGACGTGTGTTTCTTAGTTTGTTGACATTGCGCCTCCCTCATACTCAGTCAGTCAGTCAGTCAGTCAGTCAGTCAGTCAGTCAGTCAGTCAGTCAGTCAGTCAGTCAGTCAGTCAGTCAGTCAGTCAGTCAGTCAGTCAGTCAGTCAGTCATTCAGTCAGTCAGTCAGTCAGTCAGTCGATCAGTCAGTCAGTCAGTCAGTCAGTAACAACGTAGTTCGTACGTACGTACGTACGTACGTACATCAGTTCGAGTTGCCATACCACATTAGCACAGATATGTAGTTGTCGATTCAAATCCCATAGTAGTAGAGGTGGTTAGATTATAAGCAGAAATCGGAAAGATTAGAGTTTGAAGACTCCCTCATACTATTCTTTCCTGTCGTCGTTGTTATAAGTTATAGAATGAATACGTAAAGCAAATATCAAATTACCAAGGTGTATAAAACGTGTGTATTTTTCTCAGTTTATATATATCTATACCGTATTAGAAGAAGTATGTTCGATGTATTACTTCCTCTATCTGAGGAAACCAATACACTAATCGCTATATTGACCTCCGTTCAATGAGAAAATCTCTCAGGCTGTAAATCCCTTTAAAAGGGTGAACAAGATTACATTTGGAGAGGGTAAGCAAAAGGAATATAAGCTTATAACTAATATGATAAAATCTAATAATTTCCTTAAGAATATTATTAAAAATGTACTAAAATGGGATAATTTATTACTGTATGTCGGTTTGAACGAATTACCATGAATTGATACTGCAATTTACAGTACCGTCATGGTACAAAAGTAGACCTCCAATAGAACTTAAAACGATACAGAGTTAAAGCAAACTATAAAATAACGAAAACCCTGTAGTTCGCATGAGGGATGAGATCCACCTTGTGTTGAAACGAAACGTTGTTTACAGATTAGAGTATGTTGATTGGGGTCCCTCCCATGTTGAAGAGTTGTCATTACTATGAGGCTTAACTCTAATTTCAATCCAATAATACTATTACCTTGGTTCATTTGTGCCTATTCATCATTAACATTCTTCTGGAAATAACATTCGTCAGTCTCTGAATCCCAAAACCTCCCTATACTCTGCCATCCCAGCTACTGCTAATACTGTTACTGTTTCTATACCATGAAATTAGTCTCGAGAAACTTATCCTTTTATGTTTACATAGGATGACGACTTAAACCGACGCGCATATGTCAAATTATTTGTTGCATATTACTCACTGAATCATTGGTATATAGGCTACTGAGAGCCTATACTCATCAGTTCAATTAATTAGCAGTGTTTAATTTCATGAATTAAATGGTAATACGACTATTACATATTAAGCACATAAAAGTCCAGCCACATAATCAA